CAGGCATGAAGTGGAGCCTGAGAATGTGCATTTCTAATCAGTCCCCAGGTGAAGCTGATGCTGCCAGTTCAGGGACCATTTTTGGGAACCTCTACTCCATTGCACTACTAATTCCCAGGTGCCTCGCCCTGGGGCCCGCATGTCCATTTGGTTGTATTACAGGCTCTGAGTCGATCTTTTGACCAGTGTCTGAGCTGGTCTGGGTCCCCTAAGAGGATGAGCTAGGCCCTATGGCATTCTAGACATCCTAGGCTGCCATGGACCTCTCCATTGTCTGACTTCTAAGATTCACATGCCATCACTCTCCTACTTCTCAAAGCGTGCCACTGTCCCTGCCTCCAGGAGACCTTCCCTGACTAAGCTCTTGAACTCCTCCTGCCCCTCTGGCCACTCTGACCTCTCAACACTGATGTCCAGGATTAGTCCAGTTCCTCCCTGCCCAGTCCTCGGCGGTGTCTGCATCCTGGGAAAGTGGCCTGTCTTTCTCTGCCTCAGACTGGGAGCTCCCAAGGACAGTGAAGGTGGAAGAACAAAGGGGCTCTACTTTCTGCTTTCTCCAGAAAGTCCCACCTTGTCGATGAAGGAGGCGAACTTGTTGTTCAGAGTCTTGATCTGCTCCCGCTCCTGGGCACGCACTTTCTGGATCTCAGGGTCCAGCTCCACATTGAGGGGAGCCAGGAGGCTCTTGTTGACTGTGACCTGAGAGATGCCCCCTGGAGGGCAAACAGATGGACATGCGGGCCCCAGGGCCACACTGCCAAACATGCTGCCAGCAAAACCGCTGGCCCGGCCCCGGCCAAATCCATAGCCCCCTGTTCGCCCACTGCCACTGGTCACATTGTAGGAGATGCTCCGGGAGCCCCCCAGGCTGTAGAGGCTCCGGCTCCCAAAGCCCCCACTGATCCCTTTAACCCCTGCCCGGTAGGAAGGCGAACTGCCCCCTGAGAGCACAGCGGAGCAGCCACTGAAGCCCCCCTTAGCAGCAGCTCCCGACTTGTAGGTGAATTGGCGGCTCATGCTAGAAAATCCAGAGAGCTGGAATAAGAAGCTAATCCTTAGCTGAGATGCAACTCACAAGCCTAAGATCTTGGTCTCCCCCTTTATAGGGCTCAAAAGGGAGCCACTGCCCTAATTTGTGGGTTTAGTTTGCCTGGGAGCAAGAAATCATTTTCTCCCAGCAAAATCAGAGATGCCACGTAAATAACTTGAAAAGCTCCAAAGTGATGGGCTTGCAAGCCTTGCTCATGTAATTTTAGTCTTATCTAATCAACCTGGGCTATTTAGCCTGGCCAAATTATCCCTAGAAAGATCTTGGCTGGGAGGTTTGTCACAGACTCAGTTGCCCTTTCCCAGGGAGTGGGAAGAGGAGGGGTGGATTGCAGAGGTGCAGAGGGGAGACCTTTAATTGACAGTGTCATCTGTGAGAGATCTCACGACTGTACCAGCCATCAGATGGGCTTCTTCAGGGACCGCTTTTATGTGGTTAGGAGGAGACTCCATGACCAAGCTTCCCAGGGTTCCTAGAGATAGTTCTCATGGTGGCCAGGACGATGGGTGATGAGCGAGGACTAAAAATTCAACCCAGCCCTCTGGCTGCCAGCCCCTGTTGTGGCCTCTCAGGCACATCTCCTGCTCTCTGTGCTGGTCAGGCTGCCCTGCACACACTAACTTTGCCCCTGCCTCTCCCACAGCCCTCACCCTTGACCTTGAAGTAATGGTATTGCCACCATTTCTGGTGGGTGACACTGGTGCAGTGCTTTACAGCATCTTTTTTAAAAAAAAAAAAAAAAAAAAAAAAAAAGCTCCTGAGGAGGTGGCCTGTCTTCCTCTGCCTCAACTGGGAGCCCCCAAGGACAGTGAAGGTGGGAGAATGAAGGAACTCTACATTTGGCTTTCTCCAGAAAGTCCCACCTTGTGTGAAGCTCACTTAACCCACTTGACCTGGGGAGGACCTTGATGATCCACATTTCACAAATGGGAAAACCAAGGCTCAGCTAGTTGAAGACAGCGAACATTTCATGAGCTCTTTCTCTGTAAGCATCTCAAAGGATACAAATTTCCCACAAAACCTAGGTCCAGCCTTGAGGATTCCCTTGGATGGTCTCTGTCTCCACATTCAGAGGGGCCTTACCATGCAGGCCTTACTTGTCTGGCCAAACAGACAGAGGCATTCACCTCCTCAGTCATTCATCCATCCACTCATTTAACAAACTTTGGTTGAGGTCTGACTCTGTCCAGGGTACTATGCTACGGTCTACAGCCAGTTCACTGTCCCTCAGACCGTTGGAGGGCCGGACTATAGTTTAAAAAAAAACTATGAACAAATTCCTATGCACACTGCACATATCTTATTTTGAAGTAAAAAAAAACAAAACGGGAACAAATACAATATTTGTATTTGCATGTGACCCGCGGGCCTTAGTTTGAGGACCCCTGGTCTAGGGTCATAAATTACAAGACAGTAACCTAGTTTACAATTCTAGGATGAGGGAAGACACTTAAATTTCATTAGATCCTTGACATTACCAAAGTATTCACAATTCCCCAAACCCAAATATATTCATAGTACATAATTTCCTCCATAAAAAATGCAATTACTTCACTAGCCAGAGTGCTTGAATGGACAGCTATCCAATCCCTCTTGTCTATTTCTGTGCAGAGATGATGGCCCCATCCTGTAGTATCCTAATATATAAAAAGCCAGGGGCCATCATGACCAAAATGACCAGATGGATGATTGAACAGCAGGCTCCATTGATCAGGGGATGGCTAATAGGGGAACCGGGCTCCCTCAGGCTCTGATGAATCCGTGGCATGGCGACTGGTGAGTGGGGCAGGTGGAAGGCAGACCACTTGGTCCCTCCTTCCGGCCCTTAGACTCCAATCAATCAGTGGCAGAGGTGGGGCGAAACTGGGGACTGGCTCCCTTAATAGCGCTGCAGGTTCAATGTCCAGAGGACAGGACCGGCACCAACAGACCAGCGCTGCTGGCCTCTTGCAACTCAGCCTCAGGCACTGCGGCTGCTTCCCCTCCCTAGACACTCCACAAGGAAGAAAGGATACCACCAGCAGCACCAGGGGTGACCAGTGGTGACTGCTCTCCTCATGCTTCCTCTAGGTCACTCGAGCCGGGCCCCCATCCACCCCACTCCAGATGAAGTGTGAGCACTGCACACGGAAGGAATGTAGTAAAAAAAAACAAAAACTGATGACCAAGAGAATGCTGCAGTCAACATTCGGAGTCCAACTCAGGAAAACGGAGAGAAGGGAGAATTCCATAAGTTGGCTGATGCCAAGATATTTCTGAGTGACAGTTGTGTGGCTGCAGAGGAAGGAGTCCAAGTTTCTCAACAGAACACCAAGGACTTCTTCCATGTTCTGAACCTTAATAAGAAATGTGACACCTCACAGCACAAGGTGCTGGCAGTGTCTGTGTGTCTGTGTATCCTCAGTCCCTGCCTTATTTTGCTGCTAAATTCAGCCTCAGTGTCACTGATGAATCCAAAAGGCTCTGCAGCTTCCTCAAAAGCCTTGGGGCACACTGTCTTTGACATGAAGATAGCTGCGGACTTCAGCATCCTGGAGAGTTAAAAGGAATCTGTGCGTCGGTACTGCCAGCACCATGAGGAAGAGCCCCGGCTACCCATGCTGACCTCCGCCTGCCCCGGCTGGGACCGATATGCAGAGCACATGCTGGGTCACCCCATCACCCTCCATCTCTTCACGGCCAAGTCTCCCAAGCAGATCATGGGCTCTGTGGTGAAGGATTACTTCGCCAGCCAGCAGAACCTGTCCCCAGACAAGATTTCCCACATCATTGTGGCTTCCTGTTATGACGAGAAACTGGAGGCCCTTTGAGAAGATGTTCCCACACCTTTACATAGTCCCCAGGGTGCTGCCTGCATGTTAACCTGAGGTGAAACTGTCCAGATAATGGAGCAAAGTGACTTCACCTCGAATGACGCCGTCGTGGACACTCTGTTTGGAGACATGAAGGAGGAGGAAGTGAGGCACCACAAGGGTACCAGCTCCGACGGATACATGGGGCACATCTTTAAGCACATGGTCAAGGAGCTGTTCAATGAGGACATGGGGGTGCTTACCTACCGCATCCTGAGGAACAAAGACTTCCGGGAGGTCACCCTTGAAAGGGACGGAGAGGTTCTGCTATGCTTTTGGGACTGGCTTTCAAAACATCCAGAAGTGGTCCTGAAGCTGTAGAGGGGCAAGTTCCCCTGCCCCTTCATGGAGGTCCTGGCCTGCAGCGGGGATGCCTAAGTGGCAGAGGTCAGGCCCAGGTGAGGAGGGCATGCAGACAGGGAACTGCTGCAGCAGGTGGAAGGCATCTACCCTGCCATCCCGTTGTGGCCCCCAGAGACCAATGCCCATGTGCAGGTGCTGTACCAGGAGTGGCTGGGGGCTGTGGTGGTGGTGGGGGGCGCTCCCTCTGGGCCCAGGCAGCCCTGCACACTGCCTAGCAGGGCCCAGGGCAGCCTGCCAGGACATCAAGTGGTTAAGGTGCAGCAAATGCCTGGCCTGCAGGCCACCTGAGGAGGGGTGTCAGATGTGTGAAGGAAAGGTTTATCATCTCTGTCATCGCTTTGGTTTTCAGAATTCCCTGCTCCCCATCTGTCGGCCCCCTCCCTCTGAGGGGTGTTTTCGTCATCACATGAGGGCAACTGGAATATTATATCTTGAGAGGATTGCCCCAATGTACATACATATCCTTTCATCCGGTGATGAAAAAATCCCAAAGAACAAGAATGAAGACAGACTACTGTCCTTTAGGCTTAAAAAAAAAAAAAAAAAAAAAAACCTGAAGCTGTC